AATTATTATTTGAATATATGAATCTGCTGTATCTTAAGACATACGTGAGCTGAAGTTTGAGATTACAGTATTACTTTCCTATTGATTTCACCAGTTGTTTTTGCTCTATTGGGGTGGCAGTTTTAAAACATGGCTTTGAAGTTTTTGGCACTCCTCCCTGGAAGCTGAGCAGGCTTGTGTGACTGCTTCAACAAAGAAAGTGAGGCAGAAGTGATGCTATGGGACTTTCAAGGTTAGGTAATGAAAGGCCATATATTCTCTTGCTTATTTTCTGGAACTCTTATTCTTGGAGTCTTTGAGGCTGCCATGCAGAGAGGAAGCCCAGGCCACATGGAGAGGCTGTATGTAGGTGTTCAGATTGATAGTTCCAGCTAAGCCCAGTCTTCAAGTCATTTCCCACCAGACAGATGGGTGAAGACTCCATCTTGGGAGTGGGTCCACCAGCTCCACCTGTTCTAGTCTCTAGACGTTGTACTGCAGAGACCAGCCATCCCTACTCTGCTCATTGTGAATTCCTGGCCTAGAATTCATGAGTATAATTAAAAGGTGGTGCCTTGACAACACTAAGTTTGGGGTGGTTTGTTACACAGCAGTAGATTTCCAGAACAGCAATGGGAAAAGACCAGATAAAAAACAGTAATTACCCTTGGAAAGAAAGTTAAATATCGAGGGGTTTTGGGGGTTTTTTTTTGTTTCTGTTTTTTCTTCTACTGAAGAAAGTGTATAGTACGTGTGACTATTATTATGCCAAATTCATCTTGGAAGCTAGTGTCCATCCAGATTAACTCACTAGACTCTAGACTCTCATTAACGGCCAAGAAGTATCATTCTGATGAGCCATTTGAGATTTCTTGCTCAAAATTCTAGGTTCTTGGTATATTTTCATGTCGATCACCTAAAAGAGTTGGCAGTTTTAGACCAGCTAAGGCCAACCTAGTAATGAAATTATGGAAAAATAGATAACTTGGAGATCCATGTCACAGTGAGATACTAAATTTTGTGGTGCTACCAATTTTCTTCCCTTATATTTTATTTTGCTTTTAGAAGTGAGATGAATATAACTAAAAATACCAGGCAGAGATCCGCATGTCAGAGTCAGCTACCTATTAAAAGTCTGGATATTCTCATAGCTGGAAGGGCATTAGAAACTCACTTATAAAATTCCTGAATCGGCAGATCAGAGAGGGGAAGTGGTGGGCCCAAGGTCTCAGGCTGGACTGCAGGCTCCTGACTTCTGACTCTTAGCACACTTCTCTTTCCTCTCAGTAAGTGGTTCTTAACCCAAAGTCTGGTTCAGAGATAAACTTCTGGGGTACTGAACCAAGCCCTGTGAACCAGCTTGAACTGGTATAGACCATTTTGTTTGTGTATGCTTTTGCGTCCATTTCTGGAGAGAATCCACACCTTCCATTTGATTTTTACAGAGATCTGTGACTCAGAAAAGTTTAAGAAGCATTGCACTTGATGATTTATTAATAATGCGGTCATTTAAGAACTATCAGAATAAGTTAAGTCTTATACTCACTCATACCTATCTATATGAGAGAACACTAAATGCTCCTGGGAAAATTCATTAGTTAAGACTAGTACATAATGGGTGCATCTCTCAGATGGTTATAGTCGGAGCACCCTGCAACCACCTCATCTTATTGTCCGTTTAGAAAACTTTGGCAAGCAATCACATTACAGGACTAATAAGGTATTTTTCCTTGCAGTCATTGCAATAGTTAAAGCAGAGAGAGCTGTGATCACTATATGTAAAGCCTGAAAGCTCACAGGCTTCTCTTAATAGAAGTTTATTTTTCATTCACACCACCGTTCAATGTAGGTTCTCAACAGCCATTTCACATGGTGTTTCAGGTATGCAGGTTTCTTTTATCTTGAGGCTTTACCATGTTCTTGAGTCTTGGAGTCCTTCCCTTCTAGCTGGTAGATAGGAAAAGAGGGAGAGTTGAAGACTAGTTGGGAAGTTTCCGTGGAAGTTGAGTTCTTCATTTCTAACCACATTCTGCTGACCAGAAACACATCCCCTGGCTCTCCTTCTAGACACAAGAGCAGTGATCGTGGGCTTCCTAGCAGCAACGCTGTGCTATGGAGGAAGAGGGCAAATCTTTCTTGGGCAGCTGGTCCTCGCTGCCACAATCAGAGCGAGTGTTTTAAGAATTCCAAATCTCAGAGATGGGTGAAGAGCCTGAGATGGGACTTTCAGACAATCCATATAATCTGGAAACAGATTACAATCTTCATTTCTCTGACAATTTAGGAATTAAGGTGATCCCCAGGAACTATAAATTCAGGATTTAAAAATGATATAGTTAAGATAAGAAAATTACAATTCTCAGGTAATTGGAGATTTTATTTTATTTTTAAAGGCGTGACACAGAGGGTAAGGGTCCCTTACCCTGGATTTTTGAACTGGCCTGTATCATAATAGAGTTTGTATAATTAATTATAGCAAAGCAAACTCTGTTTCCATTTTTGCAAAACTGCTGCTACAAGTTTAGCCTTTTTATTGCTTACCCTTAACAATGTTTTCCTGTTTGGCAAATGTTACAATAGCACATGCCTTTACTCCATGGTGTTTATTCTCACTGTGTTGCTTAGTTGTTTCTTGATTATTTTTACTTGTTTTATACACGATTAACCCATCTCCTCAAATTATCTCATGATTTTTATTCTAGAACTGGGATTGACTATGGTGTAAAATTATCATGAATTTAATTCTTGGCTTTTTAAAACAGTTGATTTTGAGGCCACCTGGGGTATCAAAACTGGTGAGCTGCGAAATGCATTTCTTCTGCCACTTACTACAGAGCTACTCTGACAAGTGCCTTTCTGTTTTCCCATCTATGAGATTTTATTGGCCCAGTGAACCCCATCAGTCTTGGAAGTAATGTAGAGAAGAAGATTTTTAATGGAGGTTGAAGTCCTAATGGGATCCACCCAGTGGTGTGCTAGAACTGGACTGTACTGAATCATGAAAGTTGAATATCGGAAACTTCTAACAACTGTTACAAATTAAATATACAAATGCACATGTAAATAAATTACATTAAAATTCATACTTTCCTAATTTTTATTACATTTTACTGTCAGCTAGGATCTGTGTGGTGGAGAACACTCCGGCGAAGGCACTATTGTGCCTCTTCCAGGTCTGCCTTCCGCGACGCCGCTTCAGTCGTGTGCAGCTGGCCGTGGTGGTCACCGGCTGTTCCGGCCGGCAGCCCACTGGGCTCGCTCTTCACTTGTCAGCGCTGAGGCTTGGAGGCACGTAGTGCTTGGGACCCTGCAGACGCCCAGCAGAGGACAGCTGTCTGCGGGGTCGTCCCTTCAGAGGCCTCTGCCCTCTACAGGAGTCTAAAGACGTCAGTGCTGCCAGATCATTGCAGTCCAGGGCCTCTGAAAGGACACAGGACCTCTTTCTGTTTCTCTGTTCATAAAATAGTTTCCGTAAAACTTGTCTCCATCCCTTCCAGGGATATGGTGGGGGAAATGTCCTAACTGTTGTGAAAGCATTTTGAATAATTAGGAAGTACAGTTCTCAAATTGGAGCCTGAGAAGTAGTTTCACACAAGATTGCTGATTTGTATCAGTGATGACTTTGAGAATAAAATATGCTCTCAGACCCTCTGTTCAGAGCTGCAGCAGTGGTTTCCCTGTGCCGGTCACAGGGCATGTGCGCCATGGTTAATGTCCAAGATTTCTTGGGCCTCTGGCAGATAAGCACAGCATAGTTGGATGTGGACAAAAGATTGCCAGCTTATCTTATCCTGGATAGGACTATCTTTAATTGTGGGATTTGATTCTTCTAGCAATTTTTACATTAATATGTCCTATCTTTGTGGAATGGCAGTGATGGTAGATGGTAGTGGTGGGGTAGAGTTAATTTTAAATGCCCTTACTTAGAAAAAAGCTAGAAATTATATTGATCCTCTTTCCTGCCTCTTTCTTTTTTTAATTTAAATGTTTGTGGTCCATTGGTTCTAAAATAACTATCCCATGTTGACTCTAAATTGATTTTTCTGGATGCAGAAATAAGTTTTGATAGAAGTATCTCATAGGTGACGTGTATCAGCAGCGTGGACATGTGTGAGCACTTTTGTTTGCTCCTGCCATTGCCTACTCTCACAAAACTATTAGCAGTTGTTAAGAAAATTGAAGCATGAACTGAACAAACAACCTTCTTTATCTCTTCCCTTCTGTTGAGACAACTTTTCAAAGTCTTGACAGAACTGTTTTTTTAAAGGGAAACATGCAAAAAATGAGTCTTCAAGCTTAAACTTCTAATTATATTGTTTGCTTTTCACCTAAAGAAATTTTCATCATCATTCCAGGAGTGCTTGGGTCCACATCTGGCTTTAACCATGTTTGTCTCTCCTCTAACATTGTTGGTATTAATGCCAATTTTAATTTCTCGGCATCATGATACATAAATATATCACCCACAGATGTGATTTGAACAAGGACTGAAACCATAAATTCAGAAGCAAGAGATTCACAGGGTTTATCAGATCACTCCAGAAAGTGGCACAGCTGTACTAAAAAGGCTTTAAATTGCTCATTTCAAACCTACCTCGGTAGCAAAATGCCATGCGTGCAGCTGATTTGCAACTACGTTAGTCATTTTCTGTCCTCCGTTTCCTTGCTGTATTTGTACCGGGAGCACAGAGTAATGTGATTTAGTAAATTATGATTTGATGGCTGGGCATCAGCCCCGTGTTGAACAGTATTTGGACTATGATTACTTGCTGGCTTTGTCACAGTTGACATTAATTATTGATGGAAGTTTCAGAAATAGCGCATGTGCCAGGAGCTTTTCCCCGGAACGCAGGCTCCAGGCAGGAGGGATGCTAAAGAGTGTGGGGGAAGAGGCACCTGTGGCTTGTTTATGTCTGTGCGCAGGGCGGCTGGACCCCGTGGGCTGTGCAGTACCTGTGTGAAGGTCATGTTGTAACGGAAGGATGAACCGTCAGGCTTATTTCTATCGTGTTCCTCCCCAGGAATTGCACCGAAGAAGCCAACTTCAGCCGGAGCCAGCTAAGACGAAGGCTCTCCAGACTGTCATTGAAATGAAGGTAGGAGCTGAGAGCACTTTTGTCTGAAACATCTGTGGCTGGGGAGTTTGTTCTAACTTGGTGGTGCCTGACATAAACATGTGAAATGAGCCTTGTGTTTTGCTCTAGGCACCCTGCTGAGTGCTTTGCTTCTGGGTCTTTTTGCCTTCCTGGGCACATTTAATTTATTGGCCCTTTAATTAGGATACCTTTTCTGGGTAAAAGAGTAAAGATCTCAAGTATCCATTGGCTGAAAGGAGCTGGGTTCATTTCCAGAGCATGGTCAATGCCTTTGACCCTCAGGGAGGTTTTGTGTGTGTTTTAAAAGTAAATTACTACAGCTAGAAGAATTATTTTTCCTCCCGTTGACATTACAATGAAAAGACACCTTTGAGAAACTAGGATTTGGCAAAGGGAAGTTATTTTACATGCAGTGGAGTCAGTAAATAATTAACATTATGCTATCAGCAAAATTTACTTTTAAAAAAAAATAATACCTTCTTGTGACCCCAGTATTTTCTCTTAACCAAGTCTGGAAGTAATAATAATTTACTAAATTCTCACAAAGTATCTTCTTGAGCTGTGAAGGCATAGAGATATATTATTTAAAGGAACAGAAAAATCCTCCTGAGTGGATTGAGGACATTTAAGGACTAAGGAAGTAAATAAGGATGGCCAAGCCATGACCTATGATTAAGAAACAGATGTAAATGAAACTCAGTTGCTTTTCCAGTATCTAGAAATTTGAAGTCTTTTTACTTCCAGTTGTTGCCAGAAAGAAGCAAATACTAAAGTATTTATCTCAAGAATAAATAATTTTTGAGTTAAATCATTCCATTAGGAGAAAATATTTTCATACTAAAGATGCTTGCAATCTGAAAACTCCACATGTGAGTTTAATAACTCAGAGAGTTTGCTGGTCACCATGGGTCTATAAGAGAATTCTGAAGCTTGCTGATGGGATAATGATTTTTTTGTCTTTCTTACAGCATATGATTTTGAATTATCTGCCAAAAAATTCCCAAGTCTTATGGCAAAAAGACACTAATACAAGCTATTGAATTCTTGGCATGTACAATTCTGACTTGGGATTTTTATTTTTCTAGTCAATGACAATGTCTTCATCCAAGTGGATTTTGGTGGAAATAATATAGAACGTTTGTTTTAAAACTCTGTGTCCCCCAAATGAGGTTACATGAGTCAGGGCACTCATAATATATTTGTTGCACATTGGTTTCAAAAATACCAATGAAGGAACCAAATACCAATAGGGTTAAAAAATAATTGTTAATCCTGGTTCATCAGTTGTTTTGAATTTATGTAACTTTAACTTATTTTGAAAAGAAACTTAATATTCTATACTTGGGGAGTAGTGGTTCCTAATTGAGATTTTATCCTCACTTTGTATTGGAACCAAACTTGAAACTTGGTTTAGGCTTTTTAAAAAAAGAGGAAAAATGAAAATACAAAAGGATAAAAGACTGATTTTTATTTTATTTTTTTGCAAAGGGTGCTTTAATCCCTCTTCCACCACTACCTCCCCACCCGCCTTACCAGTCCCCAGCACAAGTAGTAATGGAGAAGAGGATGTATGTGCAGTTTGCTTCCAAATTATAGTTTAAAAAATATATATAAAAGAAAGAGTGAGTTCCAGAAACCTTTGGAGAAATCAGGAAAACCACGAGAGACATATCTCCTCATGTGGTAGATATTTTCCTCTATACAATGACAATTGGTAGCTTGTCACTTTTAAAATAGAAAAATCTGTTTGTTTCTAGTTTTCTGTTTCTAGCATGTTTTATTATAAAACAAAAAGAATTATAAATAAAGACATTCATTTTATGTTTATGGCAGCACAATCCACTATTGCAAAGATGTGGAAACAACCCAAGTGCCCGTCAATTCATGAGTGGATTATTAAAATTTGGTATATCTTCACACTGGAATATACTCAATTCTAGGAAACAACAGCGAGCTAGCACTGCTTATATTATCCTGGATTGAGCTTAAGCCCATTATCCAAAGTGAGGTGACACAAGATTAGGAAAATGGGCTCCACATGTACTAGCCATCAAATTAGTACTGACCGATTAATACTTTGGTGCTCAAAGGGTGGTGGTGTTCACCAGGGACTTGGGGGTTAGGGGTAGACCCACATCTGAGGGATATGGTGAGCATTGTGGAGGGGAAGGGCCTAAAGTTATTTGTTTTGCCTAAAGTTATTTGTTTTGCCTAACCCTTGCTAGGGAGAGGCAAAGTTATAAAATGCAACCAAAATGTTTGTACTTTCATATTTTCTTGAAATAAAACAAAACAAAACAAAAAACATTCATTTAGGCTATGTACATGGGAAGGCATAAAAACATGATTTTTAGGGAAAATTCATATCCACATATTATCAATAAATTGAGTTTTCTTTTATGGATGCCAGTGATGCTGATTTATAGGAAGAAAAATGTATTTTTAGGATAAATGAAGATCAATATATTTTTCAGGAAGCTGAGCCAGGAGTTTTCCTGTTGTCTTTTTGGATGATTGTTAATTTACAAAATCACTGCCTCTGTCTTGTCACAGAGAAGTCTGGGTCCCATTAGCATCTGTACTCAACATACCTAAATTGAGTTATGGAGGCAGCTGGTGGAGGGTCATCTCCTTGGCCATGTGTGTAGCTCATGGTGGAGGCTGTGACCCCATCTGACTTTGTACATTACACCCCTGGAAATTGGAGGGAATGTTGGAAACTCACTGTACAAGGCTTAGAGTTGACCGCTAAATAGAACTGACCCTCAAAGCCTGGTGAGTGGAACTTGAGACGCTTTTAGGTTCTAGCTTTGGGTAAACATCATTGTCATCTAGTGCCTTGATAAAATTTAGAGTAAAAAAGACTTTTCTTAGAGTAAATTGGCTCTGTAGTTTCAAAGAGATGGCATGAATTCAGGCTCAGAAGTTACCCCTATTTGTCCCTTGCTTCTTAGAGAAATTGAGAGTGAACTTCAGACCCCCAATGTCCCCACATACACTTTGCATCAACTTGAGAAAGGTGTTTGCTGTGAAAGTCTGTGAAATCTTGTGTAAATGTAAGCACTATTTAGAGTCACAGTCTGGTACTTCGAGATCTCTCTGTAGCCCTCTGGACTTTTGGAGTTGTGGGACCATGTCCCTGTGGAGCGAGCTCTGCAGAAGGCCGAAGGCTGCCTGCCTCCTCATGTCTGCCTCCTCATGTCTGCCTCCTCACGCCTGCCCCCTCACGCCTGCCCCCTCACGCCTGCCCCCTCACGCCTGCCCCCTCACATCTGCCCCCTCACATCTGCCCCGAGCAAGCCCAGTGGGGGGCTGACTTCGCCTGAGTGAAAATGAAAGGAAGAAAAGCGAATAAAGTTATTTGTGATTTATCTTCTCGCAGGAAGCTCCAAATTTTAATTTTGTTCCCGATTTTGTCTGGCAGGTATGTTCCAGGTGTGCACTTAGAACATTGTGTATTTCTTGGAAAAATTAGTTTCTTGTAGATGTTATGATGCTCCTCCTTTTCTTTTGTGTTTAAAGATTCTTTACTAAGCTCCTCTTTTCTGCTCTTGTGGAGATCTGTCAGTAAGAATGGCAGCTGAAAGGCTTGTTTTCCCTTTTGTTTTTTCTTTGATGTTAATTCCTTTGATTATTATAAATTTGACATGACATAAACATGATGTCCCAAAGTTTCATTTTCTTGGGTCATTCATAAAGCTGTACCTATTTTTTAAGAAAGAAAATGAATGACAGTAATGGCACGATTAGTTAGCTAATCTCAAAACCTTTTTTCTTTGTTAGAACTTCTAAGTGAATTAAAGTCTGTTACAAAGTGGCTAAAGCCAAAAGAAAATTTATTGGCTCACTTAACTAGAAAAGAAAAAAAAAGGCATGGCTTGATTCAGGGGCTCAGAAGTTATTAGCAGATCTCACTTTCTCATACTGTCTCTTACCTTGGCTTCCATCATGTGAGCTTTATTTTTAGACAGCTTCTCTCTGCCTGTTTAAGCAAGATGGTTGCAGCAGCTCCAACAATTACAGATAGAAGGGCATGGAGAATGTTGTGTTTTTAAAAGAAATGCAAAAAATCCAACCTTTAAAGTAACAATAATTACTGATATGGAGCATAAAACTTCACTCTAAGCTTAACAGCCCAGGTTGGAAAGAAAATACATTTGTGTTCGTTAATTCTCATTTGCTTAATACGTTAAATGATACACATTCATTAAGAAAAACAAACTTTTCTTGCTAGCAGAGCAGAAATTATCACATTTTCAGCAGAATTTATCAATGGGACATATATGAGTAACATAGGGTTTTATTAAAAGTTTCAGAAAGCATCTTTGATCTGGTGTGCTTGTTAACTAAAGTAGATTTAGAAGGCAGAGGCATAATGCTACCATGGTACAGTATTTCTGTCAGTAACTGGAGTGAGGATTGTAGGTATTTAGATTTCTAGTCACAGGGCCCACTAGGGCACTTGTGTGCCTTAAGTAGCTCCTCTTGAGTAACATTTGTCCCCACTAGCCTTTTTTATTGACACCAAGTAATAAGCAGTGCAAGACTGAGCTTTGCTAAGTCACTGAAGTGTAGTGGTGCCTTTGAAAGAATATGACTTTGCATTCAGGCACAAATTCAGTGGGAAGGTTGACTTTTTGTTTTTAAAATTAAAGACTATACTTTGTCTTTGTGCCCAGGCAGATGACTGCTCTTCTGCATGGACCTGACCTATAGTTGGGAGGTTCAGTTTCCCTTCAAAGGTGTGTTGGTATTTGGTCAAATGCAGCCTGTTGAATTCCACAAGGTATGCAAGGGATGTACTGGAACTTTGTAAAGTCAAGAGCTGCTACTTGGTGACTTTCTCAAGGTCAGATAACTAGGAAGGGAGAGAGTTCTAACCCACACTTGGCTGTTGAACAGAGCCCAATACCCATTGTGAACTTATTTGAGTCCTGAGATCTAGCCAGAGACAAATGAAGTGATTGCCATGTTTTCTTTGGTTCTAGGGCCTACCTAGA